GTGTGTGTGTGTCTGTGTGTGTGTGTGTGTGTGTGTGTGTGTGTCTGTGTGTGTGTGTGTGTGTGTGTGTGTGTCTGTGTGTGTGTGTGTGTGTGTGTGTGTGTGTCTGTGTGTGTGTTTGTGTGTGAGTGTGTGTGTGTGTGTGTTTGTGCGTGTGTGCGTGTTAATGCGCGTGGATGTTGTACATGTGTACATAAATGGCATTCAGCACCAAGGACAGATACAATTATGTTTACCTGTGGGTATTTGTGTGCCTGTGTGTGTGTGTCTGTGTGTATGTATGTATGTATGTATACATGGATGGCTAACCTGCGTGAAATCCTGCAATCTCCGTTGGCTATGTTGATCACAGATTAACTAAATCTAGCTAACCGTTCAACTGTCCTCTTAGCGACACTAAACACCAGTAAGGAAAAGTGTTTGCATCATATTATTGGCCTGTGTGTAGTGAAAGCCCCTCCGGTAGCTGAGCTGGCGGTGCGCCGTCCGTACGACATGCTGAACACCAACGGGCACCAGGGCAGGTTCGCCACCAACGGGATCGTCCGGAACGGAATGATGAACGATCCGTACTACACCACGGCACGGAAACGGAAAGCTCTCCGGAGGATTCCCAAGAGACAGGTAGGAGATTTCGGTTGTATCTTCATCCGTATTTAGTTACCAGGGCAAGTTTGTTACCAACGGGATCGTCCGGAACGGAATGATGAACGATCCGTACTACACCACGGCAAACCGGAAACGGAAAGCTCTCCGGAGGATTCCCAAGAGACAGGTAGGAGATTCCGGTGGTGCCTTCGCATATATGACGTCCTTATTTAGCTACCCGGGCAGGTTTGTTACCAAGGGGATCGTCCGGAACGGAATGATGAACGATCAGTCCTGCATCACATTAAACCGGAAACGGGAAGCTCTCCGGAGGATTCCCAAGAGACAGGTAGGAGATTCCTAGTACTAGTATATCAAATCAAATACATATAACGTCCTTATTTAGCTATAAGGGACCTGTATCTGGAATGCTTAAGAATCTTGCCATGACAATTCATCAAAAAAGGTCAATGACCTAGACCAGGCGGCTGTCACTATGGCAACTGGCGCTGTAGCAGACACCCTGTAGCAAGTCTCACTGGGTCAGTTTATTGAAGAAGACAGGAGTGACTGGTCGAAAGCTCTAGGTGAGAACAATCTCTTGTGTTTTAACGAAAGTTTTAACTATAAACACGATGAAGAATCTTGCAATACAGATGTGGGGCCGTGTGGCGTAACGGCAGAGCGTTCGGCTCGGAAGAGGTCCCGGGTTCGAACCCTGCCATGTCACCGATCTTGGGAAAGTCACCTTACACGACTTTCCTGGATGGAGGCCTGGCGAACCCCATCTCGTATTAGCCACAAAAATGCACCAGAATCTTCAACTAGTTAAAGGCAGCAGCCTCAAAATGAAAGAAGATTGTTACAGCTGTGGAATGGCAACATGATTGTCATCCTTGTATTACCTTTGAAATGGTAGATCTAACTGTGATGTATCTGCGTTCAGAACGTGATCCGGCCGTTCCGATGCTGGGACGGACGCCTGACCATCCCTCACCACTACATCTGTGACGGCGACCAGGACTGCGAGGACGGCTCGGACGAAGTCGACTGCAGTAAGAATTGTTTATCATGTTTAACTTCGCAAAAGAAAACCATGTTGTTTTTCCTTAGTTTCTTCTTCTTGTCCTTCTCAAACCAAAAAAAGGTCAATGACCTGGACCAGACGGCCGTCACCTTGGTAACTGGTGATGCAGGAGACACCCTGAGGTTCTGCACTACATCATGTATATACGTAGCAAGTGATGGAGGGGCTGGTCCCAATATATATGAATGTGTTTGAGTATATAAGAATAAATAGAGCTGTTTGCTGAGAAAGACCACGTAAAAGTAAGCATTTCGCATTTGCCATGCAAATGCTAACGTTACCTTCCTAGATCCTAGTTGTTTGTTGTTTTTATTTATCACACACGTGCATGAACACACGAGGAAAACCATTGTTCGTCGGATAGGTAAATATGCAATACTGACAGTGAACCAGTGAACTAAACATAAAACATATTGCACTGCTAGCATGGTCTAGATGCTGTCAACTAGTCGTAATTATCTAAATCTAGAAACCTATTTGTCCATATACCATATGCATCTTGCTCAAAGTCATTTCATACTCAAAAGATTTGACATAACGTTATATTTCTTTCCCTCAACGCCACCAAGTTAGGACTGCAACAAGAATTCGCATTCTTTGGGTCCTATTTGAGGACAACGTCAAATGGCATCCCTTTTGCACGACGTTCGAAATATGTACCTACAAATATAGGCATAGACGACGTGCTTGGTATCATTCTCGATCACAGACCAATCGCGGGCCGCCCCGTCTACAAGTTCAAACTTTCAAATATCAACGGCCGTTGAACGACTGTTACGTTTGGCAGTGGAGTGGAAAAACAGTTATCGGTATCACTGAACAGTTGGCACGTTATAAAATCTTGTCGCCCGCCGTGTTATGAGTGGTAAATGATATTGGTACGAAGTGTTTGATGTGTGAAGTACTTACGATCTGATGACAAGGTCAGGTGACGGGTCAAAGGTCAGGTCACCATGGTGATGGCCGCCATGTTGAACTTCAGTCGAACCAAAACAGCCTATGTTATTTATAATACACTCTCTATATATACAAAGCTTGGCTGTTACAAAATGTCATCCTTCTAATAAAAGAAGAATAGCCTGGTAAAATATTTCTATGCACTGAGACGAAATGAATGTGAACAATGTTAAAAGGTCTATGAGTCACTACGGGTACCATAATGCAATATACCACCAAGGTATTTGAGTTACTCAAGCAACTAGATATATTTTGAAAACGGTCAGACGTTTCAGGTAGCACCCACTATTTTTTGAGCACCCACTATTTTTTTTCAGTGACTCGTCACTACCTAAAACGTCTGATCATCAAAATATATCCATTTATTTGCTTGAGTAACTGTTACCTAAGTTGGTACATTTTGTATCTCATTCCTGAATTTCTAGACCTTCATCGACAGAACTCATATATAGTGTTTCCTGGATTTCTGCACTGTAAAAAGAGACGTTTAAATTTCTTCATTATGTTTACCTTCGCAGAAGGAAAAGATATCGTTTTTGCTGTTTCTTCTTCTTCTTCTCAAAAATAAGGTCAATGAACTGTACCAGACGTCTGTCACCATGGTAACTAGTGTTGGGTTAGATCATGTCGCAATTTTATAGCAGGAGGGATTTAGATTCCTGTCTGACAATACATATGAATGTGTTTGAGTAAGATCACTAAGAATTAACAGAGTAGACTATATGCGAACTTTAAGGTAAATATGTATTTGCTTTGCAAATGTTACCTTTCTAGTTAAACTTTCTTCATTTGTTTTCTGTACAGCGAGAAGTTGGTGCAAGGGCTACTACTGTCCGAGAAAGACTGGGAGGGTCAACTGTGTCCACAGTAAGAAGGAGTGCCGTGCCGTCAGGCGGACGTGGCGGCAATGGCAGAAGGAGCAGCGGTCTATCAGAATGAGCTCCCTGCACGCCCCCACCCACTCCCCGCCAACAGAACAACAAGGCTCCGAGGAGTGCACGGAGGACATGATAGAAAGGTTAAAGATATTTTCTGTGGAGTAAGACAATGAAATTATTTGGCAAAAGGTTTGTAGATCTAGAGTTTGCAGAAAGCGTGCCAAGACACTGAATGCTAGTCTCCATCAGATCTAACTATAACAACGCGAGTTGGAAAATAGTAAAATTTAGACAAATAGAGAGAATAATTGTCAAGGGGAGTTTGGCTACCAAAGAAGTTCATTTTTCCTTGGCTTATTACTAGCCCTATTTCTATCGTGCTCCCTTCGGATCTGTAGACGACCTCCTGACACCCCGGTAGGAGTTTTACGCCCGTAGGACTAGGAATTTTGCAAGGCAGGCGTTTGGTGGGCTAGTTGAATTCCTGTTGTCGTTCAAAACCTACCGGGGAGCCTAGTTGAACTGGGCGGTGGGGTTCACCTGCAGGCCCGAAGATAGGCCGCCCAAACCACGATAGACTAGACACCAGGATACTTAGGAATGCCTGATGGATACTTTCTATACGCCCTGCAAGCATCATTGTATATTGTATACATCTCCAATGAACGAAATATGACGGTTACGCTCGACTTACAGGCTCTAAAGTCCTATCATTTAGTCAGAGTTTTCTGTCAAGAATTAAACCGCAGTCACTGAAATAAGTTGCCAATAGAAATAGCATTTGTATTTATTCCTCTGGTCAACTCCAATGTGGTAAATTCTGTCAATGTCTGTAAAAAAAATGGTAGTTTGGATAGACCTCGCCCACAGTTGGTGTACTGTATATAATATGTCTATGCGAGGTACATCCAACCAAACCATAAGATGGGTGCTTATATATCAAGAAGTTACCAATCTCTTCATAATTAATGTATGTATGATTAGCAATTAAGCTCAATCTGTGATAGAGCTATATATGATAAAATACCTCCATGGATTTAGGGATAACATTCAAATTTATGAGTTTGCATATTTTGTGTAGTTAGTGCGTTAGATAAGGTATTTACGAAATGTGAATAAATTCTACCTTCGCAAATAGCATATAAGCCTTCATAGGTTAAGTACTACGTTTAAATCTTTTCTTAATTTTTTTGTATTGTATGGAAAAGTTTAGCGTTCAAATATATAATATGCTCATTCTGACGACAACTTAATTATGCTAAACATTTATGCTAAACGTTTAATTAAATAGAGGTACTTTGTACTAGTCAATTTTGTTCATAAACAATAGCAAATAGCTTGACAAGAAAAACAAGATTTTTCGTCCTGAAAATTTAGGAAATGTGCTATGGTAATAATTCGTAACATTGCAGAGTGACTAAGAAAACTTTGAGTATATAAAAACATACTAATAATGTTGCGAAAACGTTAGGGCTACGGTTTGATTTGAATCGCTGGATCATTTGAATGGCGTATTTCACTTGCACTTATCAATGTCAAACCAAAGGGTGAGGACGTACATGTATATTATAGGGTGTCATTTTCCAACCCCCACTAAGTTTACATTGACTACTACATGATATGTTGCAACATGAGGGTTGGAGAGAATAGACCGATCCTGAGTGCCCATCACAATTAGTTCAACCAATGAGAGGAGGGCAATTTGTGGTTCAACCAATGGGAGGAGGGCAATTTGTGGTTCAACCAATCAGAGAGTGACCATCAAATATTTGCATGTTTTGACGGAAGTGGGCGGGGCTTTAGGATCGGAGGGGTATTTTTAACCTTCTTCCTGCTTCAGTAGCCTTTTGGTGCCATTATTGTATTGGTTTTGGTGTTAGGCAGCAGGGAGAAGTTTAATTAAATGGTCTATCAGAATAATTCCAACCCCTAACATTACAATATAAATAGGCTACAACTTGGAGACATAACCAAATAATGGGTGCATTTTTAATAATGGCCCAAACATACTATATATGTTGCAATTATACTTTCAGTTCGTTGATATACATAGACATATACAATGACAAATTCACAAAGTAGCACATAGAAATGATAAAATTTTAATGTTTGTAATATTTGAACAATTGAGGTAGATCACAACATCATAATCATGTGCGTTCATACAACTGAACATATTTAAAATGTTTCAAACCTTATTTACGTGTACACATGTGACGTCTTTGTAGATATTAGGACATTTGTAACCAAATAAACATTTTTTGTTACCGCAGAATTTTGGATTATTGTGATTTTTGTATCGAATGTGTCATACCCTGTAGTTTTACATTCCATATTATAACCTCAAAGTTATCGTATTTTGTTTAGCTGAAAATTAAACGAATCTCACTTTTTGCGTGATCGAAACCTCATTTGCATAGGACAGGAAGGCATCGGAATGATCCTGTTGACGTTAAACAGCTTGTTTTTCACTGTGTTTTGGGGTGTTGGGGCATTTTATGCTTAACATTAATTAAATTACTATGGTCGAATCTGACAACAAATAGAGAATGAAGCTTTAGTGTTCTTTTTAACATGGAACATGTGGTTTGTAATAACGTTACAGCATCAGTATAGCGTTGCCACTATAACGTTACAAACCACATATTCAAAAAAAATCATTCTCTATTTGTTGTCAGATTCAACCCATAGTAATTTAATTAACGTTGAGAATTAAGTGTCCCAACACCTCAAAACACACTGAAAAACAAGCTGTTTAACGTCAACAGGATCATTCCGATGCCTTCCTGTCCTATGCACATGAGGTCACCCCTGTTTTCGCAATGCATTCTGAGGATGGGAAACTCGTGAAAAGCAAGGCATCAGTATGCCAAAAACAGTTACTCAAGCAACTGGATATGATTTTGAAAAGGCATCAGTATATCAGCGATGTTAAAGGCACCCATAGCGATTTTGAGGGTTGTGAAACTGGATTTTCAAAGTCAAATTTGGTTCATTTTTTAAATGTACCAAGTTTAATCAACCCCATCCCATGGCTTACTGATATCTGTGAGGCAAAAATGTAATGTCGCTAACGGAAAACGGTTGCTTGTTTCATATCGTAGGCAGCTGGTTCTAGCTATTTACTGGTGGTACCAAAAACTAAAGCCACCCCTTGCGTAACTTGTTGTGGGCTATATATGAAACGCTTCAAGTATGAAATGATAACGACAATGTGCTAAGCAATGTCAGTAAATGTTAATATCATACAGATTTTCTTAGCCAGAATATTTTTGTTTTGCTGTCCTGAAATTGCATCTGATGCCTTTAATGCGTTCAGAGTGGCACCAACATATCTTAATGAAAGCACACTTTGTCATAATGTGAGGTGTTTACTAAAATTGGTCAATAAGCAAAGACAAGTGATACAGAAACAGTAGTAGTAAGCAGAGTGACGATATCGTCATCACGTACTTGAAGCAAACTGCCTGAAAATTCTCCTCCTGAAAGGTTTCGTGAGAGTCCCCGCTCTCTAGGTCCGAGCGACTCCGTTTGATCATCTTCCTCCACTCGGAGGTGATCATCTTGATGCGGTTGTCGAAGTCGGCGTCCTGGACGTGCACGGAGCGCCCCCCAGCGGCGGTGAGCTGTTTTTCATCTGTCCTGTCTAACACCTTACTGGTGAGGTATCTCATTCTGACTCTCTCGCAGAGGCCGCAGTGTTCTAACTCCTGGAACACGCGAAGTCTTTTGTTACCGTCCAAGCACCACATTTTTCTGTTGATTCTCACCACCTCGATAAGCGGAACTCGCTTGATGTCCACCTCGTCGTACAGAATCTGTCGGAAGAGTTCAGACAACTTGGAGCCGTTGTGGAAAACGCCCTCTACCGACTGTTGGGTGTACAGCACCCTGGAGGGTCGAATGGCGACCACCCGTTCCGTTGCCCTGTTCGTCATGTGTGCACGTGACCGCCGCTAACCAACCAATCATCGTAGAGAAAAAAGTTGTGCGAAGAAACCAGGACGTCCGATAATATGCTGTTCCTTGAAGACTAGTCTGAAAAACTTCGTCTCAAGAACTTGTCCTAGAATAAAAACAAGAAACCATGACCTTAAATTGCTCCGTTAGGCCATGTTGACTTGATTATATGGATGACATCTACGCACGCATGACTTTTTGGCCGTTTCCAAAACAAAAAAGTTTTCAACCATACTGTAAATCATACAAAACAGTGGCCAAATGAGCAATTATATAAAAGTTGCAAAAAGAATGTTTAAAAACGATACCAATGTCGTAGAATGCCAAAATCAACCAAAAAAAAAAGACGAAAATGTAAAGAAATGAATTTGAAGAGTAGATTATTCGCCAAACCATACTCTGTGTCATTTGTTCAACCTTCATGACCACGTAGATTTCATAATGAAAGTAACTTCTTTTATTTTGCCAAACTTTTTTTTATTCGCACGCGCACATAAGTTTTGGGGTTCCCAGAGGATGTCATCCGTATAATCAAATCAACATGGCCTTATCGTATAGGCACACTGTATTACAATGCGTATGAATTATTTATGATTTTAATGTGTTCTTACAATAGGTAAGCAAGTCATTGATTCAAGGATCTATACACAAAACTAGTTGGCATGAAAGTTCATCTGTGTTGGTATACTTCATTATGGCCAAAAGTACTCTCCAAGCAGAGGTTGTGGGGAATGATCGTTACCTTTTTATATATGGCCGTTTGTTTTTTTTTGTCTTGATCCCCCCCGTCGGTGGCTAATGGAGCTTCTCTGGCTAATGGATACTGCCTGGCCAATTTGATACTGTCTTTTTGCCACCGAGAGGGATCTGCTTGGAGATTAGGCCAAAAGGGCTAAACTTTCTATCCAACACTAAGTAAATTGGGACTTGTCAGCCTTGTTCACGGAGGGCGACACAGAGACGGGGGGCGACACAGGTTATCTGACACGTACGACCCTTTGCTGCAATCACGTGTTTCCGACGTCACGTCCCGGAAGCTGCAGTAGAAGGGTCCATTCCGTGAACAAGGCTGACGGAGTCGGTCGAAATTTTAATTTGGGTAAGTCCCAATTTACTTAGTGTTGGATAGAAAGTTTAGCCCTCTTGGACACGAAACTAGTTGTTGGTTTAAAACAGCCCTGATATTGACACAGGCGTCCGTTGTTGCATCAGGTTGTTTCTTGACCTTTGTACAGTGACTTTTGGTACATGAGCGGAGACGATCAATAGTTAAATGCTGTGACCTGCGAACAAAAAATTTCACTCAAACCCCCCTCCCCCTTTTCAAGCCAACAAAATATAGATCAATTTAGTGCAACATGTGGTGCTCATAGGGTAAAAGAGTCGAACGTGGCAAAAAGCTATATAGCATTGTTGTGTTGTCAAGCGGCTGTTACATTACAAACAGTTCTAAACCCTTGGGGGTTCTAAATCCTATGTATTGAAAGCAGGCAAATGCAGGCCACTTAATTGAAAATCTATAGTTGATCTTTTAATATCAGTTGTTTTGTGTTTATATCCACCAGCTAGGAAGAGTGTTGCCAAAACAATTTTAGTGTGTCAGAACGTCTACTCAGTCTATTAAGTTATCATGTTATAACTAGTTTGTTATCATTCTAACTAGTTGCTACATCACTCCCTCAAAATTTTGTCCTAGTGTCTCAGAAAAAAAATGACAACCCATATCTGTGTGCACTGTTATCTAAATCGGTATCCAAACAATTGTAACTAGTCGCACCCAAGAATGCACGCTTCAATTCACTTGTAAAGATTGCATTGTGGTGGTGCACTATTTAGAGTTGATACCGTTATAATGGAATTAGGACGTACGTACACCAACGCTGACTTAGAAATACAGACAACTAGAAAGCTGTTACGTTAGACTTAATATTAGAGACCTACATACATAATATCTATATAATAATAATTACACGGTATATGTTACATGTATTGCCCCCCTCCCCCTCTATCCACCTGTTAATAGCTATAGACTTTGGACCTGTCCAAAACCACATATTCTAACACTTGCACAATGGTTAATTATCGTTCTTCAAAACAGGTCAAATTTACATCATCTTACCTGTGGAAATAGACAGTTCTGAAAGATGTCTGATGCTAATGACTTTCTTTTACTTTACGTAAAATTAAAATTACGTAAAGACACAGGTACAACACAGGGTGGGTGCTCGGTCCTGTAAGGGTTATCAGGGTTCACTGAAGAAGGATCCGGAAAGGGCGGGAAAATAAACAAATACTCGAGTTGAAGCGTAAACACTGAGCACTAAGCACTGCTTGAAGCTGGCGTACTCTCCAAGCAGATGTCGGTGGAGATGATTGTATGAGTTCAATGAAAAGGTTCATGCATCAGGTTGGTACAATGTATTAGCCACTGAATAAAGAGAATCTTTTTATACAACCAAGACTCACTGACTCCCCCTTACTCTCCAAGCAGAGGTTTGGGTTTTGGGTTATTTTTGGCGTGTTTTTAGTTTTTTTTATGGGGGTAGAACGTGGCTATATACACTCCCGGAGTGTATATAAAATCTATTTGTATTTTATATACACTCCCGGAGTGTATATAAAATCTATTTGTCTTTTATATACACTCCGGGAGTGTATATAAAATCTATTTGTCTTTTATATACACTCCGGGAGTGTATATAAAATCTATTTGTCTTTTATATACACTCCCGGTGTGTATATAAGATCTATTTGTCTTTTATATACACTCCCGGAAAGTTGATAGGGCATTCGAATGATCTGTCGCCGGTGCGAAGACCGCGCGATCGGCTGTGTTATCCGG